TTATGGGTCAATATTCTTCATGAACATATTGTCAAAAATCCTCAACAAAATACTAGTAGACTGAATTTGACAGCACACTAAGGGAGATCATGCACCACACCATGATCCAGGAATATTAACCCCTGGGATGCAAGATGATCCAATACATGAAAATCAACCCATATAGTACACCACATTAACAGAACAAAGGATAAAAGTGTAATTCCTAATAAAATCACAATAATACATAAATACATAAATACACATAAATACAAAAATAATACTAAAATTTATATGTTATCACAAAAGACCTCCAAAATAGCCAAGCAATCTTGAGCAAAAAGAAGAAAGCTGGAATTCGCATTATCTGATTTCAAATAGGCTACAAAGCTATATTAATTTTTTAAAAAACAGTATGGTGGTAGGAAAATAAGGACAGACATGTAGTCCAATAGAACTATAAATAAAGACTAAAGAAAAAAAATAGAAAAGATCAAGGAAACTAACAGCTGGTTTTTTGAAAAGACAAATAAAACATCTAAGGAAAAAATAAAGACTCAAATAAATAAACTTGTAGATGAAAGAAGAGTTTACAACAAGCACCACGGAAATGTGAAGGATCTTAAAAGGCTACTCTGAATAGTTATATGACAACAAATACAGAACACAGAAACTCATCTACTTATTTATAGCAAAGGGGATCTTTGATATAGGCACCAAGAATACCCAGTGAAGAAAGAACCTTATCTTCAAGAAATGGTTTTGAAAACTGGATAGCTACATAAAACTAGATTTCAATCACAAAACAATAAAATTGGATGGAAACTTAACTCACACCATATTAAAAAATGTGAAACAAATCAAAATGTATTAAAGATCTGAATATAAGACCAAAATGTAAAACTTCTAGAAGAAAGCATAGGAAAAATGTTCTCAATCTTAGTCTGGGTGATGATTTTTTAGATATGATTCCAAAAGCACAGTAAATGAATGCAAAAATAGACAAATAGGATTGCATAAATACAAAAATAATACTAAAATTTATATGTTATCACAAAAGACCTCCAAAATAGCCAAGCAATCTTGAGCAAAAAGAAGAACAGCTTTTGCACAGCAAACAGTACAATCAACAGAGTGAAGAGAAAACCCAGGGAGAAAGTATTTTCAAATCAGATATCAAATAAAGTCTATATCCAAACTATATAAGGAACTCAACTCAATAGCAAGAAAACACAGAACACATTGAGAAATGGCAAAGGACTTTTCTCAAAAGAAGACCTACAAATGACCAACAGGTATATGAAAAAATGTTCAGTATCATTAATATCAAGGAAATTTTGGAATAGCAATTATCAAAAAGACAAAATATAAGTGTTGGAGAGAAAGAAGAGTAAAAGGAATCCTTGCACACTATTGGTGGGAATGTTAATTGACAGAATAATTATGGGAAACTGTGGAGTTTCCTGAAATAATTAAAAACAGAACTATCATGTGCAATTCCACTACTCGGCAATCCAAAAAATTAAAATCAGTATGTTGAAGAGATATCTATACTCCATGTTCACTGCAACATTGTTCACAGTAGCCAAGGGATGGGAAAACCTGAGTGACCGTCCATGGATGAATGGATAAAGAAAATGTGAACACACACACATATGACATATACTTATATATAATATAGATGTATATAATTTATTCAACCTTTAAAAGAAGGAAACTCTATCATTTGTAACAACATAGATGAACACAGAAGACATTATGCTAAGGAAAATAAGCCAGGCACAGAAAGACAATTACTTCATGATCTCACTTATATGTGGAATCTTGTAGAGTTGAACTCACATATGTAGAGAGTAGAAGGGTGGTTACCAGGGGCTGGGGGAAGTAGGAAAGCCTTGCTTAAAGGGCACAGAGTTTCAGTTACACAGGATGAATACATTCTGGAGAGTCAATGTACCACACAGTGACTATAGTTAATAATATGGTATTGGGCAACTGAACTTTGCTAAGAGATCTTAAATATTCTTATACACACAAAGGTATCTTTATAAGGTGATGGATATGTTAATCAGCTTGATTGTGGTCATCTCACAGTGCATATGTGTATCAGAATATATTGTATATCCCTTATATACATAAATTTTTTATTTGTTAATCATACCTCAATAGAAATGGGGGAAAATAAAACAATAAATAAAATAAAATGAAATTCCACTAGGAAAAAAAAATCTGAAACTAGGAGTTGTGTGGAGAAAAATGCTGTATGTTTTAATAATTTTAACAGTACATAAATTTTATGCTTATGTTTGTACGAGAGTATATGGAAAATATGCCAAGAATAAGTAATAGGTCAAAAGTTTTAACACCAACATAAACAATGAACTTTCTTTTTCTTTTCTTTCTCCTTCTCCTTCTCCTTCTCCTTCTTCTTCTTCTTTTTTGATAGTAGGGATTGAACCCAGGGGTGCTTAACCACTGAGCAACACCCCCAGCCTTTTGATTTTAAATTTTGAGACAGGGTCTTACTAAGTAGTTTAGGGCCTTTTCTAAAATGATGAGGTTGGTTTTGGCTTTGAACTTGCAATCCTTCTGCCTCAGCTTCCCGAGCTGCTGGGATTACAGGCTAAACAATGAACTTTCTCTATCACCCCTGTGACCTTTCTACATTAGACGAATCCAGAGGTCTCTAGAGAGTTCATACAAAGAAAACACCATTCATGATGGAAGTAACTTTATTCAAATAATTTAATAATTTGATCAAATAATTTAACAATTTTATAATACAAATGAAAAGAATCAGAATATTAATATTGCTTATTATTATTGAAACACTGCTGTAAACTCTGCCCTTAGCTTGATATGCCCATGGAAACCCAAGTTACATTTAAAAACCAAGCCCATCATAGAAGTCTTAGTGGATTTCTGAAATCTTCAAACCATTTAGCTAATACTTAAACTAGATCCTGAGCAGGAAGGGGAGAGGGAAGGGACCAACGACTGGGGAATGTAACCAAAATAAAGAAGAAAATTCAAATTCTTTTCTTTCTTAACTCCATAATTTCATTAAAAGTTTCATGGAGCTGGAGAAGGAGGTGTACCCTCTGCTTTCAGAGTTCAATATACAACTATTAATCAAATTGGTGATTTTCAACTGAAGGTAAAAGGTAAGAAAAAGTAGCAGCAGGGGGAGAGAGCTGAAGTGTGTTGTTTTACAAAGCATGTTCCATGTTATAGTGTAACTTTGCTTGGGGAATATTGTAAAAACCTTGTTTTCAGAATATGAATATTTCAGGAAGATGGGGTGGTTGAATTTACTGGAATGGGGGATGATCTAAAAATTGTGAGAACACGAAGCTCAATCTTGCTTATTTTATTGCTCAGATCTTTGGATAACCTTTGTTAATTATTGTCAAGTGCTCAAAACAGTATGCTAAAGTTGATTATAGATATTTTCTTTCAGCTGGGTCAAGCTGTTCTGTATCTGGGAAATATTCAACATTTATGAAATGACATTGGAACCATTTCCTGGTTTTAGGACTAATGAAAACTTCTCTTTTTATTTTTATCTTGTTAGCTCATCTTTGTTAATATTTGGAAGAGGTTTATTAGGTCAAATTTATTCCACATTTTTCCTAAAAATTTCAAGCTATGTGTTTAAAGAGGGGACAATGAGGGATTGGTAGACCAGTTGTAGAACTTTTATCCAGTGAAATCCGAGGGGCCACTAGTCACAAGCCCGTAGAAATGCATTTATGCATAGGGAAAGACACTCATGCTGTGTGTTTGACTGAAACAAAGGTACGAGAAGTTGCAGAATAGCATGATAATTAAATTAAAATAATATAAATCATATCCAACATTTAATGAATACTTTCTATGGGCCAGGTCCTATTTTAGGTTGTACAGGTGAATGAAACCATTTAGTTCTTTTAACAGCTTTGTGAAGTCGATATCATTAAGATTTTCTTTTCTCAGTGAGAAAATGAGGCACAGAAAGATGCAGCTCATAAACCTAATTTAAAAAAAAAAAATCCACTTTTTCCTCTCTGCCCAAATTTCAAACCATATTAGACAACATAGAAACCAGGCAGAGAAAATATCAGTTTGATCACTGATAAAACTGATATTAAAGGAATGGCTTGGATTTCCAGCCACAAGGACATGCTAATACTTCATTCTTCCTGAGGCCTACTCACCACTCAGTCACAGCATTGCTGTGTACCACAGTCCTCCCCAGTGGGGCCTGTACCTGTCATGGAGGAGCCACAGAAGGTACTAAATTTGCCAGTCAGGTAGTCTAGTGGGGGATGGGTTCTCCCAATATTCACACATAGGTATAGAAAGATGTCCATGAGAATAGGTAAGTGGATGCCTTGGATGCATACATTAAATAGATGCATTAAATTAGAGAAATCATAATTATGTTGTGCTATAATCCAAGAATAGTAATATATCTCAAGAAGATGGTTTTGAGTGGTAATCAGTTTTCGAAAGGAAAAAAAATGAGCTTAAATCAAACTGTGACTCAAACCAGATGCTTAAATAGTTCTCTGACAATTGTCATTAAGAATGGATCAGAGGACTGGGGTTGTGGCTCAGCAGTGGAGTGCTTGCTTGGCATGCATGAGGCACTGGCTTCTATCTTCAGCACCACATAAAAATAAATAAAGGTATTGTGCCCAACTATAACTAAAAAATAAATATTACAAAAAAAAAAAAAAAGAATGGATCAGTTAGGTACCTTCTGTCCCAGGTGAAGTGGACATAGGGGAATTCACTGCAGAGATTCCACAGGTCATTTATCAACCACTCTTTCTCCATTTCCTCTCATATGTCCCCCTTTTTGCAGACCTTGTAACAGCTGATAACACAAATTTTCATAACTCACAATCCAACACATTTTCGGGGGTGGGGAGGGGGGTGGCGGCAAGAACAATGGAAATTTCTTCTCTCCAACTACAATATAGAAAGTTCTCTTTCCGAGGTGGCACCAAATAAATTTTTTTAAATGAGCCATTTTATTGTTGCAGTAAAAAAAAAGTCCAGTAGAAAGTAGATTTCATGCTTCTAGATGTGACTGTAGAGATGGGGTCTATAGAACAACAGGATAATAGCTGTGGAAATATGTCACAGTAGATTGGGTAGAGTGAGGTGATGGGAGGGTAGGGGAGGGGGGGATAGGAAGGGCAGCAGAATACAATAGACACTAGTATTGCTGTATGTATATACATGGCCGTATAACCAATGTGATCCTGCAACCTGTACACATGGAAAAATGAGAATTTATACCCCATTTGAATCAAATGTATGATATGTCAAGATCATTGTATTGTCATGAGCAACTAATAAAAAAAATAGCTGTGTTTCTGAATGTTGCTCATCCCAAGCACATTACAGTGGACCCATTACTACCTCCCTTCTTTTGTGAAACTGTTCATCAGATTACAAAAGAACATATGCCATAAGCATAGACCTTTATAAACTCTAGTAACTCTTAGCTGCTGCCTGAGAGCAAGACTCTGGCAGCTCCTCTTTGTGTCCCCTTCCATTTACTACCCTGGCCACAAAGATTGGTAACCAGAACCTTGACTTCTACCAGCCTATGTCACTTTTACTTTTTTGGACCTTATATATATGAATCAGGTCCTACGTGTTCTATGTGCTGTGACTCACTCCATCCACTGTGTTAATGGGATTCATCCTGACTTAAGTATAGCTTACATAGTAGCTTTTGGGGGTATATTTGCTTTTGAAAATTTAGGAGTACAGAATGAAACGTTTCACAGGATTAACACAGACATTTCACTTCTCTTCACTTTAGAGTCACAATGCATGGCTTATCATGGTATCAGATATCCAGGACAAATGGCAAAGCTAGCTAAAATTTATTCTAAGAAGGGAGATGCATGCTTGAATAATCTGGGGCATCTGCTTCATGTTAAGCGTGTTTGTAAAAACAAAGCCTCTTGGGCCCTCAGGAGGACTGGCTTCTGGTTTTGGCTTATCAGTGGCCTTAAGGACATTTTGTTTTTATCTCCTGAGCCAGAGGAAAGTTTAACAAATAAATCCAAATTCCTTCTGATTCTTGTAGCCTATGATTCCACAATTCTAACTCAAGATACTGTGACTACTTGTCTGCCTGCAAAGCCCAAATCCTCCTCTGTCGGTGGGTTCCCCCAACAGCCAAAGCAGACAGTACAAAGAAAAGCCACAGTTTTAAGTTGTAATGATAAGATCAGTGTAGTTTTCCACGTTGTATTGACAAGATAGATAGTCGTGTTTATACCTAATAGGCAATATTTGAAGCACACAATTTCTATAACATACACTTTCGATCTTAAGTGTTTTAATAGTGTGTGTATTCAAAAAGTTAGGCCTATCTTTAATTGGAGATGGGACTGAAGGAACAGGGTGGGGTCCATTTGGCCCCACCCCACTCAGCCCACTTTGATATCACTTCTCATTCTATCTACACTTAAAGTTGAAAACAAACAAAAAATCTTCACTGGTATACTTTACATGTATATCTTATTTATAGATCATCATAGATTTGTATGTTTTTCTATTTTATTTTGAAACAGTTGCTCGGGGCCTCACTAAGTTGCTGAGGCTGGCTTTGAACTTGTGATCCTCCTGCCTCAGCCTCCTGAGCTGCTGGGATTACAGTTATGTACCACCCTACCCAGCTAGAAGTTCAAGTATTTTCAGTATTTAATTTCAACATTTAAAATAATTACAATTTTTATAAATAAATTTTGACTTTTTTTCTTTCATTTTTCTTATTATATCACGAGTCTGTAAAGGTGGAAATTCTCAGCTTCAGTCTGAGAGATGTCGACAGCATCTATTCAGTGTCCTCATAAAGGATACAGAAACCAATAAGGTGGGCTGGGGTGTAGCTCATGGTAGAGCAGTTGCTGAGCATGTGTGAGGCCTTGGGTTTGATCACCAGCCCTGCAGGAAAGAAAGAAATAAAAATCCATAAGACAAGGATTCTGCCTGTAGAAAGCACATGTTTATTTGTTTATTTCCAAGCCATGCTCTGGCTTGGTAGTGGCTTGGACTTATCTAGACTCTTATTTCCCAACAAACTTAAGAGAGACAAGTCATCCTGAAATGTTTTACTCTTGCAAATATCTTCCATAAAACAACAGCAACAAAATGACTTACAAAATAATTTACTAATCTTATTGGATGGAATGAAAGACTGAGCTTTAAAAGTTACTCTTGCTTTCTTGTCTCAGAACAAGTTTTACTATAAAAATAAAAGGAGAATTCCACTTTCAAGAACTTAGTATAAGTGTTGGGGTTGGGGACGCCCTAACTCGGTTATTTCAGACAGCCTGCTTCCCAGCACTTAGCAGAAAGATAGAGTCTTCTAAGTGCACATACCGCAAGTTTTACCTCAGAATGCTTCAGGAAGTCACAGATTTTACCTTTGTCCTCAAGATGCATGCTTTGTTCTGAGAACTCTTTCATTAGAGAAAACATGTTTCACACATGGATGCTTATTGGATTGGCTGGATCAAGACAGTTAAGAGAAGATTCTGTTGCAAACACTATGCTCATTGCCTAAGTTGATCCTCACCCTTCACATACCTGTTATTACAAACAACCTGCAGATGATTATCATAGAAATGTTTAGTGTGTTGCTTAATGCCACACAACCAGCAAATGGTAAGGCTTCAATGCAAAACAAGATCATTTATTTTGCAGTGCTAGGAACTGAACCAGGGCCTTGTTCATGCTAGGCAAGTGCTCTACCACTGAGCTGTACCCCCAGCCCAAAGGAAGCTTTTTTCCTGGTTCAGAAACCTTCCCAAGGAGTTCCTAATGATCAAACTGTAACAACGTGAGTTAAAATTTTTTAATTTAAAAATAACAATAGTATAAGATTGTAACCCATAGAAAGATCAAAATTCATGAATCCATACTGATATAAATAATCAATTAATAAACAAATAAGGGAAACAGAACAAGACAGTTCTTCCTTACAGTAGAATTCCAATTGAAAAATATAAAGGAAAAGAGGGAAATAGAGATTCACCGTTAGTTAAATACTATAGTAATGATTGCTGCTCTGGATCTGCTGATGAATATTAAAGGTACAGAGGGCAAAAGTCTGAGAAAGAACAAGATTTGCATTCTTTGAGAGTATCACTCCCAATCGATTTATTAACCACAATATTACTATGTTCTCTGAAAAATGACTTTACAGTAGAAGACAATCCCAAGAGGCACCACCTTCACCAGGTCCCGTTAACGTCACCAACAAAAGACCTAGGAACACCATGAACCCCACTGTCCGGTGCACAACATCTCAGTTATATTCTTGGCAAAATCATGGGTTTGATCCGACAAATCAAAATTGAGGCACAGTCTGCAAAATATCTGCTCTTCAAAATAGCCAGCTTGCCAAAACAAAATTGGGGGAGGAGGGCAGAGGCTTTTACAGATTAGAGTTTAAGGAGAAAAAATTAAATGCAATGTGGAATCCTGAACAGGATTCTGAAGAGAAAAATGTTATTGGTGGAAAATCCATTGAAATTGAGACACAGTCCGTAGTTGAATTGATAGTGTTGTCCCAGTGTTAATTTCCTGATTTTGATAGTTTTATTGTAGCCAGTTAAGAGGTTAAGTTGGGCTGAGGGGTAAATGGGAACTCTCTGTTGCATTTTTTCTATAACTCTAAAATCACTTCATAATAATTTTTTTTTCAAAAAATATTGATGAACTTGAATCAAAGTGTGGAATATGATATGTCAAGAAATTTGTAATGTTTTGAACAACCAACAATAAAAAATTAAAAAAAAAATATTGATGAATATATGGGGCACCAGATATGCTGCCTCTCAAGTGTTCCCTGAGTGTGACCAGATGGTCTTGAAGAGCCCGATGTTAGAGGAAAGTGTGCTGATTGTGTGCTGACTGTGGTAGTCAGTTGCTGTACCCTACTCTACCACAGGCTCTCAAGGTGAGGGGTGAAAGGAGTTGCTTCTAATCGGTGTTAAGGATAGTGGGTGGAATCTGACAGATGCTTCTTGCTGTGGCACGTATTTCCTGGGCACACTGATGAGTGCATAAGAATTAAGTAGGTGGATCAGTCCACATTCATATTTCGCAGGCTCTTATAGTGTAAGTCTCATAGCAGCTTTAGAATTCTTCAAACTCCTTTCATGTAGTTTTGGGCGTTGCTAGCAGATGTCACATTAAATTCAATCTCTAGGTTACTGAGCACAGGTCACCAGTTTTCTTTCCAGTATCAGCTTCTTGGCAGGGTGCTGTTGGGGAGTAATTACTGATTTTCCAACCAGCGCACCTTGTGTAGGAGGACCTTCCTGTTTTTCTCTACATGACTGCAGTGGGCTTCAGTATTCCCCAAAGAACATTCTGTTCCCCAGCAATTGATAGGGCCAGCCGCAAGCCCAAAGCAATCCACACAGTATCATCTGAAGAACTTTCAGAACTGGAATAGAGCCAAGGAGTGAGAAAGAGGGAGCAGCCTGTCTGTGTGTCTAGGTGGAGCATGCAAACCTGGGAGCTGTCAAGCAAACATTTTCTGGCTTGGAGGCTGGGAAAATGGAGAACTCCAACACAGAGACCAAGAGCAGGAGGGGAGTAGACTCCCGGAGATGAGCAAAGAGGAATGAGGACTTCTGGATCCACCAAATACTACACACCCAGCTTCAGTTCTCATGCCCAGCCAGCTGTGTTCCTGCCCTGGAAGTCCATGAGATTTCTTAGTCTCCTTTCAATAAACTCTCTGTGTAAGTTAGCTCAGGCGAGGTTTCTGTTACCTGCAGCCATGTGTCCGAAAATGATGTCTCTTGTTGCTCTCTGAGCCTAAAATGGTGGATCTGTCCCAAGGGAAGAGCACAGCTGGTGCCCACCAAAGAGAACCCCTCCGTAGCTCTCATGGGCACCTCTCCCAGTCTATACCCCACCTTCTGGTGATGCTGACGCCAAGCTGCTGATGTTTAAAGTTAAGGGTGCCTTCTTCTTATACTGCCATAGCTGGTGACGTTGCCTCTCATTGTGGCAAAAGCTGTGGTGCCATTTTTGCTGCCAATTTGTCCTTCAGGAGTACTGAGAGGAGAAAAGATAAGGAAAGTTAATCATTTAATAGCTTCAGGCTCAACCAACAACAGCAACCACAGCAAAACAATGCCACATACCTGGGTGTGTGTTTAAACCTTGACTTGAAAAACCACAGGCATCTGAGCCACAGGTACCGGGGCAGCAGGCTTACAGCTCCGACCAACCCCAAAGCAACAAGTCCTTCCCCATAAAGACTGTCCTCCTATCCCCACGCTTTGCTGGCTAGTGTACCTGCCCCTCTTAGCCAATGCAGGCTCAGTGCAAAAACTTCTGCCTTCCTTCCCCAAATTTTCATTATAAAAATGTTCTTGACTAACAGGTCTGGTGGACATCTTCCAACTCTTACTTAGTTTTGCTGCTGGAATTTGTGGGCACTTTTCCAGAACGTGGCCCTTTCCTCACTAGCATCTATAAGGTCTCTCAAGAGTTTTGATGTTACAATCACAGGGAAAATATACTTTGTTTTTATTCACTATTTTGTTTTATTCATGCCCTTCTACTGAGGACCCTGGCGTGAATTTCAAGGTTGGATTGGAGGAAGGTGTTACTTATGATAGCTTTGGCTAAAATTGCTGTCAATCTCCAACTAAAGTTGGCTTTAAAAATAGTTCTTTTTAAAACAAAAGAAGTTTAAACATAAAAACACATACCTGGAAATTCTTTTGAAATGGAAAAGAACCAAAGCAATGCCATTTTGTTCTGACCTGACTCCATTTTATGCTTGTTTAACATGTTTTCTTTTCAGCTTCCCGACAGCTGTATCTATGTTGAAGTACAATAGGACTTTGATCTGATTATGGCCCTGAAGTACAACAAAAAATGTGTAATTAAAACAGGTCTCTCATGTAATCAAAATATGTTTCAACAAGGTCTTTTCTAACCTACAGTTGCCTCAACTGTCCTCTGGTTTTGCCTTTATAAACTCTGTACTTCCAAAATTCAGGTTCTGGGATTTGAGGTGCTAGCCTGCTCCCAACTACTTGCCTGGCATGCTCATTACAGGACCTTTTTCCTCTTTCAGTTTGGCTCAATATATGTGGGTGGTCTGTAATAGCACTCTGTAACACTTTGACTCTGCCCTCATCCACACAGTAGCTTCATCCTCAGACTGGCACTAAGTTGGCTCTCAATTGCTGGGTGTCCTATCTAGTATAATAATGATGGGAGAAAGAGTGGTCCATCTCTTTCTTATGTCTTTATAAATAAGTGAAGAAAACTTGCTCCCAAGATAAAGATTAGAGCAACTGCAATAATGAAGCATCACCTAGGATATCCCTGATTGTCACATGCATCCCTGGTTATCAACCTTATTTGTATACCAGAGCCCATGGAGAAATTTCTTAAAGAATAGGATAGTTCAGCCTTACCTGCCACCTGCATCCAGCACAGACGGCTAACTCAGGTCACTCGGGGAAAATTCCCAAGGTATTAATAATAAAACACAGACACACAATTTACCTGTTGGCAGCAGGTCCACCCTGGCCCCTGGAGCCCTACCTCCACTAGTTTGTTCTGCATGCCAGTGTGGCCAGCTCACAAGGCCATGGCGAACTTGCGGTTTTTCTGTTCCTGCTTGTCCGTCTGAGACATATGTATCCCACGGGAATGCCTTGACCTTTTCTGGTCTGATGGACTTATTGTTAAGGGAGGTTTCGGTACCTGACAATAATAGATGTTGAAACTAAATTTCTCCCCCCTCCCTCCTGCTTTTGGGTAGTTTTCCACTTCTGCTGCTTGGGGTATAAAAAAAGGTGTGTTAGCAATAAAGATTATTGACTCCTGGATGAAGAACCTTGGTGTCCTGTGTGTCTTTTAACCTCGCCGTCCCTCGCCGGACTCGGCTCCCTTGGCCGGACGCAGCAATTGGAGGTCCCACCGAGATCCGGAAAGCAGGGGTAAGCGGACGGGGCTCACCTTCTAAGAAAGAAGGGGGAGGATTGGTTTAAAGATATTTTAAAGAGACAGGGTACGTACCATGGGTAACTCAACATCGAAGGTTCGTCTGGCCAACGAACTAAAAGAGCTGTTAAATACACAAGGAACAGGAATAAAAACTAAGACTGCAACCGAATTCATTGAAATTATTGCCCAGGCTTGTCCTTGGTTTCTGACAGGAGGATTTCTTAATAATAGTGACTGGGACCTGGTGAGGCATGACCTTCAGAAATTATTGAGGGACCGGGGCTCGGACAGTGTCCCAGTTGCCACCTTTTCCTTATGGAGGTTGGTAAAGGATGCTTTATTAACAGATAAAGTAAAGATCAAGGATCAGCTTGCTGAATGTGAACAGGCCCTTAATCAGGTACAGGAAGAGCAAATGGCAGAATCCTTAAAGGATGAGGGTCCTCTTGAGGACTCGGGCTCAGGGGGTAAGAAACGCCTCCAGATTTCTAAGCCCAAAAAGGATCCTGAGGACCTCAGTTCTCTCTCTGAGGAAGAGGAGGGATTAGAAAGGGAGATAGAGGAATTAGAACATCGCCTTAAAAGGGCAAATGTGAGGGTGCCTAGGGCCCCCTCAATTGCCGCACCTCCTCCCTATAATCCTGATTGGAATGAGGACGCCCCTACTAGACGGGCGGGGGTCCACTGGGGTTCTAGAGTGGCTCAGGTTTTTCCAATGATTGAAAACGCCGATGCTGATGGACAGCCGGCCAGAGCCCATGTCCCCCTAGCCTTCAAGGACATAAAACAGCTTAAGGAGGCGGTCATTAATTATGGACCTCATGCCCCTTTCACATTGACCCTCTTCGAGTCTTTCTCAGCCAGTCAACTAATACCCAATGATTGGCAACAACTTTGCAGGGCTGTGTTATCTGGAGGGGATTTCTTATTGTGGAAAAGTGAATATCATAAAAGGTGCCGCGAGCTGGCTCAGATTAACCTGAATGCGGGCCATCAACGGCGAAATGCTGAAATGTTGACAGGAACTGGGCAGTATGCCACCATAGGCCAACAAATTAATTACGACCCAGGTGTTTATGCTCAAATAGCCTCAGCTGCAGTCCATGCCTGGAAAGCCCTGCCCGTTTCTAAGACTGAAGCAAAAATTTCCAAGATCTCTCAAGGACCCTCTGAACCTTATTCGGACTTTATAACCCGCCTAATGCAGGCTGCAGGAAAAATATTCCCTAATCTAGAACAGGCTATGCCACTTATTAGACAACTGGCATATGAAAACGCTAACACTTACTGCCAAAATGCTATTAAGTCCTCCCGGGCCAAAAGTATAGATGACATGATTCGAGCATGCAAAGATATAGATGGGCCTCATATTACTGGTCAGGTTTTGGCTGCTGCCCTTAAGACTGAAATGCAAAAAGCTGATAACAGGGGAACCAGCTCTAAGGGGTGTTTTAAGTGTGGGAAAGAGGGACATATAAGGAGAAACTGCCCGGAAAGGAGCGAGGGTGCTGGCAGAGGGATGCCTAGAATTTGTCCTAGATGTCATAAAGGAAATCATTGGAACAGTGAGTGCAGGTCAAAATTTGACATCCAGGGTAACCCAATACCGTCGGGAAACGGGAGCAGGGGCCTGCCCCGGGCCCCGGAAGCCAAAGTGTACGGGGCAGTGCAGGGACAGAACAGTGCCCCAGGGAGTGGGCGTCTCCGCCGCCTCCCACTGACCAACCCCTTTCTATCTGGGAACTCCCCAGGGGAACACCAGGAAGCGGAGGACTGGACCTCAGTTCCACCTCCCGAGCGGTATTAACTCCCCAAATGGGACCTCAGACGCTGCCTACTGGGGTTTTTGGACCCCTGCCAGAGAGGACGGTGGGACTAGTGTTGGGACGAGGTAGCGCAACTCAGTGGGGCTTAAAGATTCTTACGGGGGTTGTTGATGCTGATTATCAGGGAAAAATAAAAATAGTAGTAAAAGCTACCCAAGGAATTGTTATTCTTCCCCCCGGGGAGCGTATAGCTCAATTGCTGCTGCTACCCTTAGCTTCCATTCCTGGGCACGCCCTCCGTGGGTCCCAGGGCGACGACAGCTTTGGCTTCACTGGAACTCCCCAGGCCTTTTGGGTAGCTCATTTGGATTCGCGTCCCAACCTGACCATTGAGATACAGGACAAGGCTTTCAAGGGAATACTAGATACGGGGGCGGATGTCTCTGTCATTTCTGAAAAACAATGGCCACCTGCGTGGCCCCTCCAGAGTCCCTCGGCCATATTACAGGGGATAGGACAGACCCGACCAAAAAGAAGTGCCTCCTTTTTAAAATGGAGAGATGGTGAAGGACATAGTGGCCATTTCCAGCCTTATGTGGTGACTGGACTCCCCACGAACCTTTGGGGGAGGGACTTGCTTCATCAAATGGGGGCTATTCTCACTACCCAGACTTTAAAAAAAAATAATAACTTTGTTAATGATTCAATGCTAGACATGGGATGGATCCCTAGAAGGGGACTAGGAAAGAGACATGAGGGCAAAATATCACCTGTGGATCCAACAGAACAGGTTACCCGGCGGGGAAGAGACCGGAGAGGACTGGGAAATTTATCCTAGGGGCCACTGAAGTGCGGCCACCTCCATTGTCCATTACTTGGTTATCAGATGACCCTGTGTGGGTAGAACAGTGGCCCCTAACTAAGGACAAATTACAGGCCGCTTCCCTATTAGTTCAAGACCAGCTTGAGTTAGGACACGTGGTGCCCTCTACCTCCCCTTGGAATACCCCTATTTTTGTTATACAAAAGGGGTCTGAGAAGTGGAGGCTTCTTCAGGACCTACGGGCTATCAATAAAACTATGCAACCCATGGGACCCTTACAACCAGGGCTACCCTTTCCTACTGCGATCCCAAAGGATTGGCATCTTATTGTCATAGATTTAAAAGATTGTTTCTTCTCTATCCCCTTAGACCCACGAGACCGAAAGCGTTTCACTTTCTCCTTGCCTTCAACAAACTTTAGGGAACCTTACCAACGGTATGAATGGACCGTCCTACCTCAAGGCATGACTAATAGTCCTACAATGTGCCAATATTTTGTAGCTGAGGTTTTGCGACCCTTTCAACAGCAGTTCCCACAGCTCTACCTCATTCATTATATGGATGACATCTTACTGGCAGGGCCCAAGAAAGAAAGGCTTCTTCAATCTTATGAAGTCCTCCAATCCCTTCTAAAAGGGACAGGGCTGGTCATAGCACCCAAAAAGGTGCAGTTTCAACAACCTTACAATTATTTGGGATATATCATTAATAACATAGAAATCTTTCCCCAGAGACCCCAGTTCCAGATAAATCAGCTCAAAACTTTACATCAGTGGCAGACATTCCTCAGAGAAATACAGTGGCTGCGCCCATCCTTTCATATTCCAACTGGAGAGCTCAAACCCCTGTATGACCTCTTGCGAGGAGATCCTTCTCCTACGTCGTGTAGAGTACCTACACCAGAAGCCTTACGAACACTGAGGCTAATAGAAGAGGCTCTGCAGGACATACAGATTACGCAGATAGATTATTCTCTGCCCTTGTCATTTATAGTTCTACCTTCTAAAATTACTCCCACAGGAGTGTTCTGACAAACGGGTCCCATTTATTGGGTCCACTTGCCGGCTTCTAACCCCCGGGTATTGACTCCCTTTTATGAGCTAGTTATTAACTTAATTTGGAAGGCTAAATATTTGGGTGATGCATTGTTTGGAAAAACCTTTGACATACTTATTCAACCTTACACTCAAGATATGATACACAAGTTACAACAAGAACATGACCTTTGGTGTCTTTTCCTGTGCATCTTCAAGGGTCAGATTGATAATCACTTCCCTAAACATAGACTTTTGGAGGGCTTTAAAAGGTGTCCCATTATCTTCCCAAAGATTATGAAAAGGGAACCTATTCCAAAGGCCCAAACTGTATATACAGATGGGGCCAAAAATGGATTTGCCATCATTTTTGATGGATCTCAAATTCTCCGACAACCTGTGTCAGGTCAGTCGGCCCAAAAGGCAAAAGTTAAAGCTTTAATCATAGCTCTCAAAGTCTATAGTTCTATTCCTCTTAATGTATATACTGACAGCTTGTATGTAGCCAATCTGGCTCTAGTCATAGAAACAACATCATATATTGGCAAGCAATCCACCATCACAGAACAACTACAGGTAGTTCAGCTTCTCATTTGGGCTAGACGAGATCCTTTATACATTGGCCACATCCGAAGCCATTCAGGGCTCCCTGGACCTTTGTCAGAGGGCAACGCAAAAGCAGACGCTGCTACTCATACTGTCGGCATTTCCTGTGTGACGACCAAATATGATAAGGCCTTACAATTCCATAACAAATTTCATTTAAATGCACAGTCTTTACGCTTCCACACAGGATGTTCACGAGACCAAGCTTTACAGATTGTCTCATTATGTCCAACCTGTGCACCATTTATTCATTCTCCTTCCCTTGGGGTTAATCCAAGAGGACTACAACCTAATGATGTCTGACAAACTGATGTTACACATTTCCCTAGCTTTGGTAAGCTCTCCTTTATACATGTTTCCACTGACACATATTCTGGCTTCATTTTTGCCACCTTACATACTGGAGAGAAGGCTAAGGATGTAATCAGTCATCTTCTAAAAGCCTTTTCCTCCATGGGCACCCCACGATGCCTCAAAACCGATAATGATCCCGCATATGTAAGCCAGGCGGTTCAACGGTTTTGCACCCAATGGGAAATTAATCATAAGACTGAAATCCCTTATAATCCACAGGGACAAGCTATCGTGGAACGAGCCCATCAACATTTAAAAACTTATTTACAAAAAACAAAAGAGGGGGAGATATACCGGAATTGTCAGGGACCACAAGCACTTCTAAGCATAACCTTATTTACTTTAAATTTTTTACTCACTGACACTGGAGGGCGCACGGCTGCACAACGCCACTTTTCCCCTCCCACTGTACAAGATGCTCAAATAAGGTGGAAAGATTTATCCACCGGAAAGTGGCAACCCCCGGCTCCACTCTTAGCTAGAGTGAGGGGAGCTGTATGTGTTTTTCCCCCAGGAACTGAGAAGCCCATTTGGATCCCGGAGCGCTGCACCAGACCGGTGAATGAAAATTCAAGACAAAATGAAGTTCCCAAGATGGCTGATCCTGCCACTGTTGTTCTCACCCCTTCAAGTGAGTGCCGAGACACACCTCATGAGCTGGACCCCGCTTGTGGCATTCCTTCTGGACAGGTTTGCTGAAGGAGGGCTTGACCCCCCACCTGGGAATATTCATGAATATCTTTTTGGAGCCCCTTGTGAGTGTAAGGGAGGGCCCCGGCACTCGGCCCCCTCTGGTTATATCCAGAGCATTGATTGTGGGACTAAAGTAGCCTACATGGCGGCTGAACTCAATGAAAACATCGGAGGATTTAAGCAACCAAAATGGGTATGTGTTAATAAGCCCGGACTTGTTGTCCCTAATCCGACCGAGACTCTTGGAAGCTGTCCCGCCACTTGTCATTACACCCCGGCAATGCACATCTCCTGTTATACATCAGCCTCAATTTGTGTTAATAATCAAGGAAAACAGTATTTTGAGGCCATCCTAACTAACACCAGTGGAGAATGGGGGACCACTTATAATTATATTCCTTTTCTTGGTGACCGGGGAGGGGAAGGCATCACGACTCGGTTAACGGAGGCGGGATGTGAGGGCGTCGTGGGTAAACCTTCCTGCTGGCCCATGCAGGCCCCCATCGGAGTCTCTGATGGAGGGGGACCCACTGATGCTATCAAACACCTTCAGGTGATTAAGCTTTTAAAGCCGGAGATCCCTAAGCCTACATACCACCCCTTGATATTGCCCAAATCCCAGCTTCCTGATTTAGATGCCAATACATTAGATATCCTAGAAACTACCTTTTCTTTACTTAACAGTTCCAACCCTACCCTTGCTGGTGATTGCTGGCTCTGCATGACGGCAGGTGCAGTCATGCCATTGGCGGTTCCCATCAATTATACCATTGATGATGACAACACATGTCAATCTGGGCTGCCCTTTAAGGTGCAGCCTCTAGATGGTTTTATGTCATGCCTTCTGGGCATGATGCAAAATAATACCTATGATGTTGATGTTGAAATCTCTTCCTTTGGAAACTACTCATTAGTAAAGAATTACTCCTCACCTACTCCGCCCATTTGTCCCCCTAATGGTACAGTCTTTATGTGTGGTGGAAATTTAGCTTTTCCCAGGCTCCCAGCAAATTGGACTGGTGGTTGCGTTCTGGCATTACTGCTTCCTGATATCACGATTATCTCAGGAGATGAACCCCTACCCATTCCTAGCCTAGACATCTTAGTTAGAAGACACAAGAGAGCTGTGCAGGCCTTACCACTCCTTGTTGGCCTTGGAATAACAGCTGCTGTGGGTACAGGCACGGCAGGATTGGGTACGGCTATACATTCTTACCGCCGCCTATCTCAACAGCTTATAGATGATGTGCAAACCCTGTCGGGAACCATTAAAGACTTACAAGACCAGATAGACTCCCTAGCAGAAGTAGTTCTTCAGAACAGGTGGGGTTTAGACTTGCTTACTGCCAATCAAGGGGGAATTTGTTTAGCCCTTGGGGAGAGGTGCTGTTTTTATGCTAACAAATCTGGCATAGTTCGCACAAAAATTAAACAACTCCAAGAAGACCTAGAAAAAAGGAGGAGGGAATTATTTGAGAACCCTCTCTGGACTGGACTTAATGGATTTTTGCCTTATCTTCTTCCCTTATTGGGACCATTGTTAGGCCTCCTTCTAGTAGTGGCAATAGGACCCTGCATTGTAAATAAGATAGTACAATTCATTAAGGATCAAATTAATATCTTAGCCTCTAAGCCAATACAGGTTCACTATCAACGCTTGAAGATGGATGATCGCCTCTCTGAGATATACTTCAGACTGATCTGATGATGAGTGTCCTCCTTAAAAGAAGAACTCCTGCCATATCTTTTCTCTATGCATACCTCTCCCTCTTGCTTTCCTGCACTAGGATCTTTGCTGTCTAATCTCTCGGTCCAATCACATCTGCCATTCGGCGGTGAAGGTCGTGGGTTCCATAGGTGGAGACGGTTAAGCGTTCACCGCAATAATGTCTTGATAGGTCATAACACCTTGAGCTGATCTTGTAGTACCCAGTGACGGGCAACTTTCACGCTTGCTGTGCGACCTAAGCCAGGGAATCGGGGCCTTCCCAGAGACGGGTAAGCATCGCAAGGGCTGTGAAGGACCTAAGACAGGGGCTACTTGATTCCCACTGGCATGCAAAAAACAAAAGAGGGGGACTTGTTGGCAGCAGGTCCACCCTGGCCCCTGGAGCCCTACCTCCACTAGTTTGTTCTGCATGCCAGTGTGGCCAGCTCACAAGGCCATGGCGAACTTGCGGTTTTTCTGTTCCTGCTTGTCCGTCTGAGACATATGTATCCCACGGGAATGCCTTGACCTTTTCTGGTCTGATGGACTTATTGTTAAGGGAGGTTTCGGTACCTGACAATAATAGATGTTGAAACTAAATTTCTCCCCCCTCCCTCCTGCTTTTGGGTAGTTTTCCACTTCTGCTGCTTGGGGTATAAAAAAAGGTGTGTTAGCAATAAAGATTATTATTGACTCCTGGATGAAGAACCTTGGTGTCCTGTGTGTCTTTTAACCTCGCCGTCCCTCGCCGGACTCGGCTCCCTTGGCCGGACGCGGCATTTACCTTTAAACCAAGCTCCGGGACAGGTGCTCTGCCCTCGACCTCAAGCTCTCCAAATGGGAGAGGGAGCACACTTTGGAGTGGACTTTTATTAGAAGGGACTCTAAATTCTTAGGAATTCCCATCCAATGAAGGTCAAGGGGGGCAGGGTTACAAGGACAGGTGAGGTAATTGGATCCCTGGGGATGTGGGAAGGCATGCCCCTGCACGAAGACACAGTCGCTTGCACCCTAGAAGACCAGGCTATCCAGATCACAGTGTGACCGAGGGATGCCACACCAGTCAGCAGGGGAGTCAGACACAGTCATGTCCTAGTTTGGCTTCCCACACTTACCCTCAGAGAGTCTTAGCTTACTGTTCTTGGGAGTTTTTAAAGTTCCTCAGGTGATTCTAAAGCACAACCAATGTTGAGAGCCACTGATACAAATATGATCCTGATAATCTCACAGCTCTGGGTCCTCCAGACTTGCCCAGGTGTGCCCAGACATGCCTAAATCCAAGGGTGAGCACAGTCTTAACCTTGTTACCCTAGAATGACTAATCTCTTGTGTTCACAGAGAAGTTTTACTAAATCACGTCTGGTTTTTTTTTAATGCTAAAAATATTATGCCCACATGGGTTACTTTACTTTACACAGTCTGTGCATGCAGCCCATCCCCTACCAAATACAAATACCCAAATTACTATCAGCTGGCTATAGGGAGGAGACTGTCTTTTCTGCACCAATCTTGGATCCATGGCTGAAGCCCTTCTAGCAAAAGGTAGAGAGAGAAAGGCATGCAGATTTTTTTAAATTCAAGTTTTACATGACATAGGAGCTTTCATAAGCATTGAGACAGCAATAGAAATAAGATCTTCACTCTGACCTTTCCTCTTTCTTCTCCCCCCACGCACAGGCCATGAGACCTAGCAGGATTTTCTAACCTTCCCCTGCAGCAGATCCTCAGACACTCATGTGAGAGGTAACCCCCCTGATGTGGAGGAAAGGAGCCCAAAACACAGAGACACAGAGAAGCATCTGAACAAACAGGCTTTTTAAGTTTCCCATTTGATTATCAGGAGATCATACCCCCTGGGTCTCACAATACACAATGATAGTCTACTAAAGATAAAAAAAAAAAGTACACAAGGTAAGTTTCTTCGGGTCTTCATTTCATTCTGCAGGCTCCCATGTCATGTAAAACTTATAATAAATAAATTTGAATGTTTCCTTTTGTTAGTCTGTGTATTGTTAGAGAGCTCTCAGTCATGAACCCAGGATGGCAGAGGAAAAGATATTTTTCCTCTCCTACGTAACCAAGAGACTTAGTCAGTGGAGAGAAGTAAAAATGAGGATTAAGCAGTATTGATATCAGACACCCAGCCCTAGGTTAGCCACAGCAGCAAGCTCAGCCTCTGTCCAGCAATGTAGAAGAGACACTTACAAGCCATGGTCAGGAATTAGGATTTTGTTCTAAAAGGAATGGGAAACGCTCTACAGACTCTATGCAAGGGGCAAGGGTTTAAGATAAAGAGGAAAGTGTGGGAATAGGGCGTCCACTCAGCAAGAGGGGAGGTGATGGCTAGACCCACATGATGGCTCCTAGGACTGTCACTGCTCTGCATCTGGAGTCACTGGCTAGAATCACCCTTCTTTGGGGGTGCTTCTTTAGGGACCTGTATTACGAAGAAGCCCATGTTTCACTGGCCTCTCCAGTAATCCTTGCTTGGTCAGACTCCTATGTCTGCAGCCAGATGCTATAAAAAACCCTGGGGGGAGTGGACTCCTCGAATCCTCTCACATTGACTTGCTTTTCTGATTAATCATTTAAATGACACATAAGCCTATTCAGGTAAAAAGATACTTGAACTTCAGGTCAGGATCACAATCCTGTCTCCAGTCTATGAGCGCCTCCCCCACTTTCAGGGTGTGGGGGGGGGAGGGGGAGGGGAGAGTTTTAAAGCCATTAGTTTCATTCAGTCATAGTTTCCTAGCAACCAGGAAAAATCATCTGTTTTCCCGATGTCTGTGGGCACCAGCCCACGCCTGCTACTGATGCTCACGTTTGCCTCCAAAGCAGAGAAAGAACAAAAGCATTGCAGTCCGCTCCAGTGGGTGAGAGATTCTTGAAGGGGACTTTGTTAAGATCCAGGCACCTGATAGAACCCAGCAGGAGAGGCGTATCACAGCTGCACAGCGGAGGGAGGGCTGGCATGTACATACATTCCTCAGCACCGGTAGCCCTACAGAATATGGGGGCTGTGACTTCTGGGGGTTTTGTGCCTATGAAAGAACGAAAGCCTGAGGCAGCTGACATCTTTCCAGTACCTCTTTTGTGTGTGTTTGCAGCCCTTGGCCTTGTTTTCTTTGAAGTTCCACAGACAAAAAAGAGGGGTGATGGGCAAAATCCAAATCTAACTGAATAATCTTTACAAATGTCCCTCTCTCAACTAGGCTTGGCTGCTAAATGCATGTAAGTTACTATATTCTATAGTTAGAAGGAAACTTCCCATCATTCAATGTTTGCAGAGGAAGAAATATGAAAAAACAGAGAGGCAAATTCATCTGTTCATGGTGACACAGCTAGTTGGTGGCCTCACAGTTTCTCCTGACCTCCAGCCTAGTGGTTTGGGAGTGGGAGATGCTCATATTTTTAATACTTAAGCCTTTTTATATTATGCCACCTTGAATAGAGGGAGGGGTTCTAACAGCAACTCAGAGATGCAAATTTTATAATTTATAAGTCTGAAATTCAAATGCTAAATCTTTTACTTTTTAAGCTTTAAAGTTAATTAAGCCCACTTCCTGTGAAGGAATTGAGATAGGACAAATAATATCCTATGAACACACACACACACACACACACACACATAAATATATACATATATTTGCTGCTGGCAGCATGCAGGGATTGACTCACCAGATGGTGGAGGCTTGGTCAGTTCACATTCACAATCTGATGGGGGAGATGAGCCTGCTGGAGACTTGGGAAGAGCTGCAGTTAGAATGCAAAGACCACCTGCTAGCAGAATTCCTTCCTGCTGAGGTGGGTGGGGTGTCAGTCTTATTCTTTTAGACTTTCAAGTCCTTCACTTAATGATTGAGATGAGGTCCACTCCCATTATGAAGGATAATGCTTTTCTCAAAGCCCACCTATTTAAATGTTAATCTCACCCTACCCCCAAAAAATAACCACTTTCACTAAAACATCTAGAATAATGTGTGATCAAATATTTGGGCAGAGTAGCCCAAACAGGTTGACACATAAAATGAACCACCACAATGTACTTCAAATCATTTTAAAAATTTTGGATTCAACTTTAGTGATAAACTTGATTCCCATTTATAATTCTCCCTTGGTACCCATTCAATAGTGATGAGTTTGTATAAACTCATTTCAATGACTTTACATCGCTTTTGACCCAATCTCCTGATCTTTCATTTCTGGTTCAGTCAGGCTGGAAATTGAAAACGCCACAATCACATGGTCTTTCAAGGACCTCCTGGCCATAGGTTATGGACAGGTTTCAAGAAAACTCCATTAGGAGCCATCCTGCTAGGGTGAGCACCCTGAAGTCATGTTGACACACACAGAAAACCTCCAACAGATTCAGATCATAAGCCATCAAGGTTTGTGTGATTCTGGCAAAATAGCCAATTACTTGCTGGCTTATTGTAAGGATAAGTACATGATAAGTGTAAGAAAAACTTGGAAGGAATGCATGTTGTCAGATAAATACGACGTACGGTGCACTTGCCTTCAGACAGCTTTCTGACCCAGCCTGCTGGACAAGAGGCACATTCTCAATCCATTCCAGAATCTAGGACTCCATGACTGGTATTTGGAGAGACAGCATCCCTAATTCAAATTCTCTCTGATTTGCTGCTGTAGTTTCTAGGCTCCGAGAGGCGGATCTTCCCAAAAGACATCAGGTGCAGTGTAAGCTGCAGGTACTCGCTCAGCTGGATAAGCCTTTAACCATGGAAAGAAGGCTTGTAAAAAAGGAAATGAAAAAGCTCCTGTAAGTATGACTGAGAATAACTTTTATGACACTTGGCATTTGGTGGGCTGTCATAGAAGGTTGGATGTTGGCAGGCGGGTAAAAAGCTAAGGAAGGCTATTCCTGCACTACAGGAGAAAGCCAGAAGATGATCTGGCCTGTCTCCTGCCAGAGAGATCTCAAATGTAGTGCAAATCGGGATGCTAAATCTCTCAGGAGGATGTTTCTGCTGGCAGCATGCAGATTGGAGGTGTCCCCATTCTACAGCCTGGGAGCAGAGCAGGGCACGGTATGCACCATCGAAAGGGGCTGGCCCTGCTGGTAAAAGATATAGGAGAGATTCCTGGAAAATGTATCCAAGGATCCAGCATTTAAACTGCAGCCTCTGCAGCATTTATTGTCAGCCTTATCGACCAAATAATTCATTTCCTTTTTCTTGACGACTGATTTTTTTAAAAAAGGGGGGGGAGGGGGGACCGAAAACATCCAGTCAGCATGAAATTTTTTTTCCTCTTCTGTAGATTTTCTTTGACTTGGTACTTAACAAATGTTGGTGGAAAATCACAGACCATGTAAGAAGCTAGGAAAAGATTACATTCTATTTCATATGTATTATAGGCACAACAATAAAAATCCCTTTTCATCAGATGTTATCTCAGACCCCATCAAATGTCCTTTCTCTGCCTACAAAGTTAACTGTCTTTTACTACGTCCTTCAGAAATGCTGGAATATGCCATATGTGAATTTGCATACATTTACTTTTATGTGTTTGGAGGCTAATACAATAATAAACAAGACACAATCAAGAATGCTGACTCTCAGGGCTGGGGTAGTGATTCAGTGGTGTAGCGCTTGCCTAGCATGTATGAAGCCCTGGGTTCAATCCTCAGAACCACATATAAATACATAAAATAAAAGTTCATCTACAACTAAAAAAAATTTAAAAAAAGGATGCTGACTCCTCTACATATGTCATCCAAATAATGGAATTTCAAAATTGACATAAATATAATTTTAGATTCAAAGAATAGATTTAGGCTTCTTGAAAGGTAACTTGGCAAAAATTCAAGAATATTATCAATCTAGAAAAGTTAAGGACTCAGAAGAAAGCTTTAAAAGCCAAAAACAAACTTACCCTCCACACAGTAACTAGTCCAAATATCCTAGTATGGTAAATAGACAACCAGAACCGACCTTATATAAAAAAGTAAGGTCTCTGGATATCAATCTTGAAGCCACCAGAGTCCTTTTCCTGAATCCAGTTCCTCTCTCCGACTTTCCCACAATAGAACCCATTTCTTTTCTTTTCCCATGGTGCTTAGTCTACCCTCCTTTTATTAAAAGTTATGGTTAGAAAAGAATCTAACGAGAATACACTAACATGGAATTACTAAAAAGTTTTCATGCATAATTCCTTCTAAGGGCATTTGAATTTCAATGCAGAAAGATTAGCATAAAAGAATACATTCTTATAGCATTTTATATATCTGGAATTTACTAGCTTTGGATGTTCTGCCTGAATTTAGCGTGAACTGAAAAGGAATCTTCACGTGAAATAGTGGGTCTCAACTCTACTTTTGCAAGAAACTTTTTCTGTGTGTGGGTATTTGGTATGCTTATGCTTTCTTGTAAATCCTGTTCCCATGAGTTTAATTTCAGATAAATGTGATTGAAGTTAATTATGGTTAGGCCTTTTAAACCTGCAGCATGGCAAGACTGCTGTGTAAATTGAAAATGAATATTAAGGCAGCTACCAGGTCATCGGCCACTTCTGCTGTATCTCAGTTTGGGAGGGAAGGTTTGGGAAGAAAGCCTCTGTCGGCAGACTGAATCCTGTGTCACCTACAATGGTTCAATGCTGCTCTCTTGCTTTTAAGGGGAGATTATATTGGCATCAGACTTCGGGAAAATGAATTTGATCCAAAAGGAAGAAGGCAACCCACCTTTCTAGATGATATGGTAAAGAAAGGCATGCTGACGTGGCTCACATTTGTGTTCTATGTGTATTAAGAGGGCAGAACCAGGATTGAGGTTATGGAGTGAATGGGGCGCACGCACGCACGCGCACACGCACACACACGTGCACATGCACACACACGTGCACACGCACGTCCTCTTCCTCATCTTTCCTCATCCTGACATTGTCCGTATGATCATTTTGACCCACTAAACTGAAAGCAAAAACAGGATGAGAAAATAAAAGTCCTATTAGGGGAGAAAAGATGAAAAAGCAAGTGAGTGCAAGGTAAAATGTTGCATTCAAGATATTAAGAAGTTCTTGACAAAATTAGCTACCAAGTAGTTCTCATTTCCTCATCATCTGCATGATAAGGGGGTGGGGGAAACAAACCAAAGCAGTGTATAATCATAAAATCCCTTGTGTTATTCAAATTGAAACCCAGATCCAGGTTAGGTTCTCAAAGTTCATGACACAGAAATTAGAAAGATTTAATCCAAATTAGAAAAAATTTAATCCAAGAGAAATTAGTAGAAAGTTCTAATCCAAGAGAAATTCATATTCCCCCAGCTTTTCCTCTGCCCACTTGCTACCTTTGCACTAAGAAGGAAGAAAGAATCTCTCTTTTCCCTGCCCCTCTTCCTCCAGCTCTGATTAAAGCAATGTTCACTGACTTTTCAAATACTCCTTGGAGCAGAGTTTAGTCTGATTCTCTCTGGACACATATTGAACAGAGAAATTACATAGATTAGAACTGTGCTTCTCAAACTTTAATGAGGTTTTATTGTTGCCATGCTGTTTTGATTTGGGACGCCTGGGCCAGTCTGAGAATTTACATCTCTAATGAGCATATAAGCAATCCAATGCTGCTGATCCAGGTTTCCCACCCTGGGTTAGGTTGCAAAACTGAGCACTATCCAATTTTCCCTCTTTATTTATTTAGATTCACATTTCAGTTTGGTTCAGTGCCTGGAAGAAATAATTCTATTGTTTGGAGAATGTTAGAACCTTAGAGCCCATCTAAAATAAACAAAATCAAAATCAACTTTCCCTTTTCTTTGGGGATGAGGAGGAGAGATAAATGGTATACTCTCTAAACAAAAAACTCTTAGAAATTACCAGGGAAAAGTCATTGTTAGAATATAAATGAGCATTCAAATTGTCCCTCAGCTTTAAGCACTATGTGTGACTCTGCATGTCACTTGATCAGGTCCACCTCCAATCCTTTGCTCACCTTGGTCCCTCCACTGGGATGTCCCTCTGGGAAACTGTCCTCATCCTTCAAGCTCTAGTTTTGAGAAAGCTCCCTCTCTGAAACCATCTACCTGCACCACCTGCCCAGGTAGACACAAGAGTCCCTGCCTCCAAGTTCCCATAGCACTTCCCCTATACCCTAGAAGCACATTTCTGATGTCACCCAGAATCAGAAGTTCTCTTTGGCCCTCTTCCCCTGCTCTTCCCTTTTTCTATTTTAAAACTTAAGGAAATTGAGGCCCAGAGAGCATCAATCACTCACTCCAAGGATAGACTATGAGTTGTTGGCAATACCCAGATTTGAACTCAGATTCCCTCATTCCTGGGTTGATATTCTTTCCACTAATCTAGTCTTTCTTTTTGGAACCACACGAATCAAATTATTGCTCTAGTGGAAGATAAATTTAATGTCAGAAGATCCTGAAGTATTTCTGGCTGAGCATCGGGTTATGAGGCTTAGCTAATAATCCTTTTGGACATGAAAAAATAGAGCAGGCTTAGCAGTGCCATCATCGCTGGGCCCAGGGAGTCCCGTGGTCAGTGTCTCAGGCTTCTCCTTTGCTGTCTGTGCTCCCTCTTCCAGGCACACTATGACTTGGCCATCAGCGTTGCTTTGCAATGGCTGGATCACTCCGAAGATTTAACTTGGCTGAAGTGGGAAGAAGTGTAAGTTGTAGTACATTTGTTGTTGTTGTTGTTGTTGTTTAACATCTGACTTGGATTAATGGTGCAGGAAGTTCCAGCTCAATCTGGCATCTTTCACTCATAGGCACTCTGATTTGAATATACTCCAGGGTAACTATCCCCCTTCAACTAGAAACCTGAAAAAAAACCATCTTTGTCAACTTAATAAAGTCAGAAATGTGTTTACATATTTTGCATTTCTACCAATTGGTTTCTATCGGATTAAAAAAAAATTTCTTGCATAACCATCCCACCTGAGAAACATGACCCGTGCTTTTTTGTGTACAAGCTGTGATTTTCAAAATGATCAATTTGGTGGGTGGAAACTGCAATCTTTTCCTAAGGACTGTCAAACCCAATCTCTGGAGAGTTTAAGCAGATAGGTACCTGAGCCAAGCTGCTTGAATCATGAAATAATTTCCTTTCCAGGATTATTAGCATTTTCTTCCACATGTAGTGTCAGACAGGCACTTAGTTGATACGAGAGGGAACTAACAAGGTCAGGATGAAGTAGTCTATTCCAGAAACCAGTTATTTTTTTCTGTCCCTAGGCCTTGGACTATACATCTGGTCCTGGATGGAATGTAGCAGCTCGATTTGGTTGTAATAATCAGAAAATTCAGTTTGAACAAACTTAAGAGGGAATAAACAAGTTGCATCTATCAGAGATCTGTAGACAAGTCTGTGCTTGGCATGGTTTCATACAAAACTCAGTTGATGTCCCTGGGACCTACCTTTTGCCCCATTTGCTCTGGGTGGACAGGGCAGGGGATATACTGACTAGCTTAGTCCACAGTGCTCCTTCCATTCTTGGATTCTAGGGGAGTGGTTGGTCTTCCTAGAGGCACATAAGCTTGCAGTGGGGTTAGGCAGTTCACCACAAGCAAATTACCACAATCAGGAAAAAAGATACTGAAGCCAGCAACATCTGCCACAGTGTCCAGTCTGCCAGTGTTTGATAACTATGAAGACATGAATAAAGAGGACAAATTCATCATCAACATTGGAAGATTAAAAATTCAAAGTGGTATTACTGATGGAGGATTAATCACATTGATTTTTTTTTATCAATAAGTGGGTAGCACACAGCCAATGCAAATTACTTATGGATTATTATCACAGACTTAGCAAGTGTCATGAGGAATACAAATAAATCTTCAGCTCTTATTTATTTATATTCCCCCTTAGGAAAATGCCTCTTCATGATCGACCCAGATATCCAAACCACAGAGAAAGAGAAGCAATGATTTTATCATCTTATGCTGGAATCTTAATGGTAAAGAAAAGAGCACTGCATGTATTAGTATCTTATATCCACTACGTGCATTTATATGTTATTGTGCATATATGTTATTTTTTGACCAATGTTTATAAATGTTTAGCATCTACTAATAGCAAATGTTTCCTTTTTAATGACATCATAAAAAAGATTTTGACTTCTATACTGTACTACAAGAACATTTATTTAAAAAACAAACAAAAAATAAGAATGAGGGACATAACTAATTGGTATCAGGAAGACTGACTTATTCATTTATTTGAAAGTTAGTTATTTAGTGCCTGTGACACCACATATAGTACTAGACAAACAAGCTCTGATAGCTTTGTTTTGTAATAAAATAAAAGCCAAGATATGACAACACCTTGATATTGCTGTTTTTATTTAACAGAACAGTATCCCAATTGAAGAAGTCTTTCAAATTTATGGGGCTGATTCTTCTGCCAATTCTGGTACTACCAAGGTAAGAGTAATTTGGGACTATCAATAGAGGGGAGATTGAGAGAGAGATTACCCAGCTTATACATTTATAATGATGTATTTTCAGGCATCAGTTATGAAATAACAGTTTTATATATAAATGCACAAAACCACATTTATTTGAATATCATGTTTGTAAAATGCTTTTAAACATAGGTTTACACAGTTATAACAAGTGTATTTTGTGTAAGACCTGGTAGGGCAGCAAGTAGTGCACCAGACCTGGACTCGAGATTCTGCTTTGTTTCTGCCTGATTTTCCCCTCTTGCCTTTTGTAACATACATCTGCCAAGCCACGTTCTCTGTGATGAACTATGTCAGCTGGAGCTAGGACTCCATCTCCAAGGCACATTCCCCAGACACAGGAGCTCACTTACTGCCACCACCTGTCCCTTTCCCACAAGACTCCTGAGATTCCTCGGAAGTCACCAATAGTGCAAGCATGACGGAAGGACAGGGACTCCAGAGACCAGGTCTGAGCTCTGACTCTACCACTACAGAGCTGAACAGGCCCCTTTCCCTCCTTGGGTCTCCATATACTGATTTTTTAAAAAAGAGAGAGTATTCTGAATGATCCTTAGGCCAGTTCCGTGTTTGCCAGTTATGGATGTGTGACTATTCAGTTTGAATTTAAGTACTGACAGCTGTTAGAGGTGACCTAGAATTGCTTTAGCTCTAGATACCTCTGGAGGAAGGAAGAGGAAATGGAAGAATGTCATTGAGGGGCCTGTAGCAGGAGGGAAGCAGGAGGGAAGGATAGGAAATGGAAAGACCGTGGAATGAATCTGACATAACTTTCTTTTGTACATTTATGAATACACCATAGTGAATCTCACCATCATGTACATCCACGAGACGGGGGTCCTAATTACAATAAAATATATTGCTTGTATAATGATATAAAAATGGATTCTGCTGTCATGTATAACTAAGAAGAACCAACTTTTTTTTTTAATTAAAAGAGTCCCATTCTTATGGATGTACATGGTGAGGGGTTTCACTGTGTTGTTTTCATATGTACTTGGGAAAATTATGTCAAATTCATTCCATTGTCTTTCCTTCACTTATCCCCCATCTCTTCCCTCCATTCTCCATTGTCTAATCTAGTGAACTTCTATTCTTCCCCTCACTACCCCACTTTACTGTGGGCAAGCTTCAATCTATCAGAGAAAACATTCGACTTTAGGTTTTTCAGAATCGGCTTACTTCACTTAGCATAATAGTTTCCAGATTCATTCATTTACTGGCAAATATCATAAAATCATTCTTCTTTCTGGCTGAGTAATACTCCATTGCATATACATACCACATTTTCTTTATCTATTCATCTATTGAAGAGCCCTTAGATTGGTTCCTTAGCTTAGCTACTGTGAATTGAGCTGCTACAAACATTGATGTGGCTGCATTACTGTAGTATGCTGATTTTAAGTCATTTGAGTATATACTAAGGAGTGGGATAGCTGGGTCAAGTGGTAGTTCTATTCTTAGTTTTTTGAGGACTCTCCATACTGATTCAGTATGATTCAGTAATCATGCTGAGTGATTGCCCCAATTTGCAGCCCCACAGCAATGTATGGATGTACCTTCCCCCCACATTCTTGCCAACATTTATTGGTACTTGTATTCTTGATAATTGCCATTCTGACTAGAGTGAGATGGAATTTCAATGTAGTTTTTTTAATTTGAATTTCTCTAATTGCTAGAGATGTTGAACTTTTTAAATATAGTTGTTGACCATTCATATTTCTTATTCTGTAATATGTCTGTTCAGTTCCTTTGCCCATTTATTTATTTGGTTGTGTTGTTGTTATTGCTATTTTTGTTTTGGTGTTAGATTTTTTGAGTTCTTTATATATCCTGGAAATCAATGCTTTATCTAAGGTGCAGGTGGCAATTATTTTCTCCCATTCTGTAGGCTCTCTATTTATGATATTGATTGTTTCCTTTACTGTGAAGAAGCTTTTTAGTTTAATGCCATCCCCTTTATTAATTATTGATTTTTCTTCTTGCACTTTAGGGGTCGTATTAAGGAATTCGGTTCCTATGCTGTTATGTTATAGTGTTGGGCCTAACTTTTCTTCTAGTATATGCAGGGTTTCTGGTTTAATTCCTAGGTCCTTGATCCACTTGGAGCTGACTTTTGTGCAGGGTTAGAGATAGAGGCTAAATTTCAGTCTACTACACATGGATTTCCAGTTTTCTTAGCAACATTTGTTGAAAAGCCTATCTTTTCTCCAATGTATGTTATTGCTTATATAATTGGTACCTTTGCCTAATATTAGGTAACTGTATTTATGTGGGTTTGTTCCTGTGTCTGCTATTCTGTTCCATTGGTCTTCATGTCTGTTTTGGTGCCAATACCATGCTGTTTTTGTTACTATAGCTCTAGAGTATAATTTTAGGTCTGGTATTATGATGCCTCCTGCTTCACTTTTCTCAATAAGGATTGCTTTGGCTATTCTGGGCCTCTTGGTTTTCCAAATGAATTTCATGACTGCTTTTCCTATTTCCATGAAGAACATCATTGGAATTTTGATGGGAATTGCATTGAATCTGTTTAGTGCTTTGGGTAGTATGGCCATTTTGATGATATTAATTCTCACTGTCCAAGAATGTGGAAGGTCTCTCCATCTTCTAAGGTTTTCCTCAATTTCTTTCTTTAATTTTTTGTAATTTTCATTGTAGAAGTCTTTCACTTGTTTTGTTACATTGATTCCCATGTATTTTATTTTTTGACACTATTGTGAATGGGATGGTTTTCCTAATTTCTCTTTCAATGAATTTGTCATTAGAGTAGAGAAACACAATTAATTTATAAGTATTAATTTTGTATCCTGCTACATTGCTGAATTCGTTGGTGAGTTCTAGAAGTTTTCTGGTGGAGTTTCTTTCTTTCTTTTTCTTTTCTTTTTTTTTTTTTTTTTTGAGTTTTCTGAATAGACTCATGCACTTGGCAAAGAGCTAGTTTTAACTCTTCTTTTCTTATTTGTATCCCTTTTATTTCATTATTTTGCCTTATTGCTCTGTCTAGAGATTCAAGGACTACATTAATATAAGTGGTGAAAGTGGATATCCCTGTCTAGTTCCTGTTTTTAGAGGAAATACTTTCAGTTTCTCCCCATTTATAATGATGGGCTTGGGCTTGTCGCATATAGCTTTTACAATGTTGAGGTATGATCCTTTTATCTCTATTTTTTCTAGTGTTTTAAGCAAGAAAGATATTTTATTTTGTCAAATGCCTTTTCTGCATCTATTGAGATAATCATGTGATTCTTATCCTTTAGTCTATTGGTGTGATGAATTACATTTATTGATTTCCATGTGTTGAACCAAACTTGTATCTCTAGAATGAACCCCACTTGATCATGGTGCACTATCTTTTTAATGTGTTTTTGTATGTGATTTGCCAGTATTTTATTGAGAATTTTTGCATGTATATTCATCAGAGATATTAGTCTGAAGTTTTCTTTCCTTGAAGTGTCTTTATCTAGTTTTGTTATCAGGGTGATACTAGCTTTATAGAATGAGTTGGGAAGGGTTCCCCCTTTTTGTGGAATAATTTGAGGAGAATTGATATTAGTCCTTCTTTAAAGGTTTGATAGAACTCAGCTGAGAATCCATCTGGCCCTGGGCTTTTCTTTGTGGTAGGCTTTTGGTGACTTCTTCAATCTCATTACTTAAAATTGACCTGTTTAAATTTTCTATATCATCCAGTTCAATTTCAGGTCATATGTCTTTAGGAATTTATTGATGTCTTAAAGATTTCCTAGCTTATTGGAGTATAGGTTTTCAAAATAACTTCCTATTATCATATTTCAATAGTGTTTGTGGTAATATTTTCACAACAGGCTTTAGTAATTTGCATTTTTCTTTGACTTTTCATTTCTGTCTTAACATTTGGAAATTTTCTGTTATGTCATTGAAAAGATTGTGCATTGCATTGGTTTGTACTTCAGAGCCTTCATCTACCCCCACGAATATTAGATTTGGCCTTTTAATGTTATCCCATTCCCACCCACGTTCCACACAGCTGGTGGAATTTGGGGTCCCTCTGTGTGAATCGGGCTGGCTGTAAAATAAAGTTAAAAAAAGAAAATAGTGAAAAAAACCACACAAGGAAAGTAATTTTAGAAAGCAAGGGCGGGACAGCTCTTCCACCTTAGGGGTTGAGCTTCCACACTGGAAAGAGAGAGAACTAGAGCCCGTGTTTGCTTTATTATATGGAAAAAACTTCAAAGGTTTTCTGTAGAATGTTCTTCCCCAAATAAAGTAGGAGGTGGGCTGTCCAGTTTCCAACAGGTTACGCCCAAATCCCTAGACAAGCAAAGACAGAGGTCAGTGCATTGTGTAATGCATAGAGTAGGAGAAGCCACAAAACAGATTGCAATGCCAAACCTAAATCTCCTTGGATCAAGGCCAAGTGAAGACGCTCAAATAGCTCAGGGGTGGCTTCCCACATCTCATATTTCTTGAAAATTCTGTTTGTGGTCTCTTAACATTTTTCTCCATGATCTTTATCTTCAAGGTTATATATTTTTTCTTCATTGCCTGAAACTCTGTCTTCCAAGTGGTCTAGACTATTGGTGATGCGTTCCATTGAACTTTTAATTTTTTTTTTATTAATTCCTTCATTTTGAAAAATTTTTATTGATTCTTCTTTCTCCCCTCATCTTCTGGGCTTAGGGAGGTCTAGGGCATGCATCAGATACATCTGACTGGTTGGTCCCAACTCACATGACTAGAGGACAAATATGCAAAGTCTCACTCTGGAGGTGATGTCACTATGTACCCTTGTCTTGGCTGGGCCATCAATCAAGGTTTGCAAATGTGAATGTTTGAGTAGTTTGGGGGACTCATGTTCATGCAGGGGGGTAGAAGAGGAAGACATGCTATCTAGAGGTGAGCCAGCCAACATTCCTCATCTGCCCCATCACTCATTCATTCATTAAAGAGCCTCTGTACAGGAATACATACTCTCCATCC